TGCATCTATGGCCTAACAACACTAGCCTTTGCACCAAACAAGCAATATCTTGGCTCTCATCCCAAAATGAAATAGCCCATCTCCTTATTAATGATAACATTGAGATTTTAATAGCCTATGTTCGTATGAGAAGGACAATTGAATACTTGATAAAAGTAAAAAGTAGAGAGACAGAGTAAAATCTCGAAGTCAAGAATTTTGATTACTAATTAAAGGTTGATTTTGTTTTTATTGATTCATTTCCTATAGTTGATGTATGATTTGTTACTTGCAGACTTAATATGAAGGTTGAATTAGACTTGGGGCATATAACTAAGTTGAAAGAAATTATTATTCATCTCACCTAGACCATGCGCTCATTGCTTGGATCTTTGGTGATATAGTGGGTGATAGGCAATACAAATTCTTTTATTGTTTAATGAATAAATCATATTGAACTATTCTTAAAAATTTTTATGTAAATTTTGATTAACATTCAAGTATATTAATGTTACAATTGATGAAAATCAACAGAATCAACTAATGATCAAAATAAACCTTTATTTGATATATGCTAGGCATATTTATAAACTATACATGGCAGGTATCGCCTCCTTTTTTCCTATTTGGATTTTTATTTCACTATTTAAGCTCTTCTTGCATACAATTCTATTGTTTTCTCTATAGGAAAACTACCCACAAAGCTTAGTTGTTGTTATTGGTGATACAAAGTTTGATACATTGATACATTTTAATGTTTGATGGATTTTAAATGGATTGTATTTTTATTTTGGATTGTATTTTTATTATGGATGTTAAACAACCCAAAATGATGACATATTATTAGGAAATCAGCTTAGAAATAGAATTGAACTTTTAGGAATCATGGCTTGTTATTTTTAGGAATCAAGCCTTTTTATTTATAGCAAACACTAAATACATGCCCACACTTGACGAGTACCAAGCCTAAATAAAAATTGAATTTGAAAAAATGTTGGAAAAATAATTAAAAATTTTGGTTTAAACCAAAAAAAATTGAAAATCGAAAGGAAAATTTTAGTTCTTTAACCAAAAATCTGAATTTAGATTCGGTTCGATTTTGATTTTTAGTTTTGATAATTCAATTAATAAAAAACTAAACCAAAGTTCATCAAAATTGAACAAAAAAAATCATTTTCTCACTCCTAAGGTCTAGTAAAAGATCCTCGCAAAGTGTTAGCTCTAAAAAACATCCCTAGTCCCTTCAAACGGACACATTTCGAGAGCAACTTCTAGGTTTAAAGTTGGCTATGTTATGCAAGCCAATCTATCGTTTATAAAATTATGCAAGCCCAATTATCTAAATCGAGAGCCAGTCCAAGTTTCCAACAAAGGTAGAGTAAGAGGTACTTATAGGGATAAACACGTCAAAAGGTCTTGAAACCGCAACTCCAAGCTTTTGCACTCAACAATCTTCAACCTACCTTAGGTGATCACTCTAAGGATATGCTCCAAGTAATCCTAACCTAGTTCTAGCTAAGGAAACACTTGAATATTTGAAAGAATCAACATCTAAACTTTGTTACTTTTAAAGTCAACTAGGTCTATTGAATATTTCAACCAAAAACTCTTACAAAAATGCATGAGATAGGTTTATATACTACTCTTAGAAGACATAGAAGAATTCAACTAGGTCTGAAATTCTTCACTAGGTCGAATACTTTTCCTAAATGATATTGAACTTATGTGATCCATATTTAATTAGGATTTTATTTCTTATTTAGTCCAATTAATTATGAATCCACATATTACAAGGACTCTTTAAAAACCTTCCCTAAAAGATAAAAATCCACAAATAAAAAATTCTCAATGAGGACATAATAATTGAGCCCAAGTTCAAACACAAAATAAATCCAAAATAATAATAATCCAATCTATATGAAAAATAAATAAACAAAACATAAAAATAAAAATAAGATGCCAAAAACTTGAGGCCAACATTACCTCAAGCATTGGCCCATAGTGAGGAGGAGACACTCTAGAGAGAGAAAGAGAGAAAGAGATGGTTTTATAAAAGATTAGGTTAAATTAAACTTGTTTGGATAGTTAGAAAAAAAATTTTTCTTTTTCTCTTTTTTGTGATTTTTTTCAACTCTTTTTTTATTATTTTTTTTCATTCGTTTTCTTCTCTATTCTTTTTATACATTTGACTTTTTTCTTTTTGATTTGTTTTTTTTTATGCAATTTTTTTTCCTCTCATTTTCTTTATGATCAGCTTTTCTCACTCAAAATTTTAAAATCATAAAAATGACAAAAGTTCATAAAAAGATTGAATTTTGAAAAATCCGATTAAATTGAGGGGGAAAAAAAAAAAGAGACAGAGAGACCAAAATTAGGCTACAACAACATTCAAATATCAATCGTCCCCATATGACGGTTAGGTTTTTGTAGGAAGCTTTTCTTATAATACATTGATTGCTATATTTTAGCAATCAACAGAGGATTTTTATTTTATTTATTTATTTATTATTATTATTATTTGGGAAGATATTCGTGTATCTTGTTCAGTCTTGTTACTACATGACTACTCGCTATCAAGAGATGGCCAGAAGAAACATCATCTCCAAAATTTGAATTGATGAAATATGTGCTGCTTGGGTTAGGACCAGTTGCCAGATTGAAATGGACGATTACAGTAAAACGCATTATAGCAGATGCATGCTTTCAAAGAATATTCATGCGAACCCTGACAGACAACAATCAAAACCTCTCAGGAAATTCTAGGTGAACGATGCTTTCTAATACCATTCCTTAGGCTTGAGCAAAAATAACAATCCAAAGAACAATGCAGCCACTAAAATGTCCTACTCAGCAACTGGGTCCCAAATTAGGCAACAAATATTACATTATTAATTATAACATATAGTAAAAGAGAATAATGTTTTACTGTAGCTAAGTCTTTTTTTTTTTTTTTTGGCCTTTAGTTAAATTTTTTTTTTATCCTTATTTTTTATCTTGCTTTCATTTTAGTCCTTTTTTAATCCTTTTCTTTAACTTTCTTTCAACCAATTGTATATATGGCAATGATTGGTTTTTATTTTTTATTTTTTTCCTTATAAAGTCAAGGAACATGACTTATGTATGATGTGATAATAATTAATCACGTCCACATGTTCTCAATTTTGACATTTGCAATGTTATTACTACTGCTGCTGCAATAAAATTATCCAAACCTAACTTTAGAAATCACCCATTACATTTATAGATCATCCAAATAAAACAAAAAACTTCTTTTTACTTTTAGTGAAATTTTTTATTATGTTTTCGTCTTTATTTTAATCATTAAAATTTTATTATATTTAATTTTTTATATTAAAATTAAATATAGTTTCATAATCATAAGTCTTTTATAGTTTTTAGTAAAAATTTTCTTTTTATTTTGGTTCCTATTTTATGATTTTTTTTTTATTAAAGTTTTATTATGTTTGATTTTTATTCGTGCCTTATGCATAATGAGTTTTTTTTTAATATGATTATTCATAAGTCTTTTTTTGCCTTTTTGTGAAAGTTTTTTATTCTTATTTTATGATTTTTATTTTTTTTTATCATTTAAATTTTATCATGTGTAATTTTTGTTCCTATTTTTGCCAAACAAGTTTTGAAATATTTCAATTTCATTTCGATTTGACCAAAAAAAAAAAAAATTCCTTTTGTTTTAGGTGATCTTTTCTCGTCTCGTTAACAAACTACAAATGCAAAACATTAGATAAAAATTAATCATAGAAACTTAAAAAAACTACTACATCATTATTTTAATTATTATTTATTATACATATTTATAATAAAATGTAAATTTATATCAAACAACATTTAATTAGCAACATTATATTGCTCAATTTTGTAAATTTTTCATTTAGCTAACTTTGCACTAATGCACAAAATATATGTTTTGATCTTTCTATTTTTTGAATTTTTTTTCGTGCAATTTTTTTAAATAATTATCTTTAAATCTATATTTATATAGATATACACATAAGAATGTTGTATAACTCATCTCACAATATCCCAAGGGATATGTGCTAGTAGACACTAATAAGAAGCTTGCTTCGGTGGTTGCACTTGAAGGCTTCAAAGATATAAAAGAACATCCTATGGGATAAATGTTAGTCGATCTTAAATCCTCTTAACTGTCATCTTTTAAGCACTTCAATTAGACCAATATACATTCTTCAAGAAAAATAGACTACATAAAAGTTTGTTTGCTAGAAATAAATTATCATGACAGAAATGCAATGAGCCATGGTTAGTCACCCACAACCCCAACCCCAACCCCTCTTTTGTCAGCATTCTTTTCGTAAACAAATACTTGAGCATAAACCATTCTTCGACCAGAACTGTGACTCAGCAGAATCCTGACACTAATATTTCCCATTTGCATTGTGTGATTAAAAATTTCCTGCTATCATTTACCATATTTATATGCACCCCAAGAAACCCATGGTGGGCAAATTCTCTAGTATAAAAAGGAAAAATTACATTTTACAAGGGAAACATTTGCTCGGTAATCAGAATATAGAACAAGATACAAACAGATTATGAGACGAGGAGGGAAGAAGGATTATTCCATTAAGATTCTATTGGTTTTCATCTAGACTAGTCTAGCCCAAGACAACATTAATGTTTCTGAACCAATAAAGAAAGAAATGCTTATTCTACAACATTTAATCACTAATCCACTTCTAGTAGGTAACTAAGCGCCCTTTCAAAGAAAGATGCCCCCCATGTAAATTAGCTGGGGAAACAAAAATTGGAAGGCTAAACTCAAAACCAGCTTCAAAACATTGCCAAGGAAATTGGGAAACGTACGACAGTTTCGATAATGGAGGGGGCTTCCATTTAGCATCATGCATCAGCAAGAAATATACTCCCAAACAAGATAATCCACAACATTTTTCCCTCACTAAACATATGTGCTTGTTCATAGTGTTCATGATCTATTCCCAGAAAATAAAAATAAATAAGTTTTCACAATTGAGACAAATTCAGTCATCAACAGGATCCTGAGGAGTTTCATCAGCCCTACGTTTAATTGAGATTACTGGGCATTCAGCATGCTTCTGGCAAAATTCACTCACGGTTCCAACAAAAACCCTGCAGAATATATTTGCATGAGAATTTTCATCATAGCTGGGGAAAATGAAAATGAGACCCCATTCAAAAGTACAAACAAGTATCCTGCAGATGCATGCCCACGTGCATTTGTGAAACATTTAATATGGTGAAGTTTCTAGGAATCAATAGAAACAGACTAAAGTAAATTCATTATTGCACATGCATAAACCAGGAGATATAATCATATAAAGCATTTCATTAAAACAATGACTAAGCATACCTTTGAAAAGGGCCAAGACCCCGACTTCCAACAACCAGGAGATCTGGCTGGACTCGTTTCACTTCATGGCAGATTACTTCCTTAGGATCACCTTTCTTGATCCATGCTTCACAAGCAACCTAGAGGCATTCAATAAAAAACAGGTGAAGCTAAACCTAATATACCAAACATCAGCAGTCCTGGTCATTGATATTAAAAGGGGAAAATGATAATAAAAAGTGAGGACAGGCGTGGGCAAGAAAGAGAATCTAAAAGAAATTTACTATTACCCCAATCTCATGGCATCTATTGACGAAGTACTCCAGCAGATGAATTCCTCTTATCCTATCCCTATGCGTCATGTTTTTAAAATCTTCAGGCGAGGCATACATGCTATCCATGTCATTGAAACCTATCAAAAAGAAAGTGTTTAAAAAAAAAAAAAAAAAAAACAACAAAATCATTGAGTAAAGTTGAACTCAGGAAACAAACTAAGTGCCGATTTAGGAAAAGGCACAGATGAAGCATGAAAAGTTCCACAAGTTGTCAAAAGAAAAGGTTCCTCATATATTGTTTGTTCCACTGCCACAGTTTCGTAGCTGGAAAATGATAACCAGTACTTGGAAACAAAGAGAACTCCTTGCTTCATTTTCATATTTCCAGAGAACGCTGGCATAAATAAACTCAAAACTCATAAAATGCAAGGCTTGCCAAGGCAGGGAAAAAGAACTCCACCAACAAAGCCATTTCTCTAAATTCAATATCTTTGCGGAGATAGCTCGAATATGCATCTCTTTCTCAGCAGAGATGAAAGCACAAGTTGCACAGTGCTTATAATACAAATGATTAAGCATCATAAGCTTATGTCCAGGTCTGAGAGCCACTTAGTCTTGACACTGAGAACATATATTAAGTAGTTTTTCAAACACTAAGCCCCCACGCCAGTCCAAACAAAGGGGCCATCCAACCAGGAAGAATAATAACATCATGGAAACGAACAAAGCTGAAATATGAATACAAAACTAATAGAATTCAATTTAATTTCCCTGTTTTTCTCCTTTCCTTTATTTACTTTTCTTTCTCCTTAAGAACCAAATTAGATCAAATTCAGAGTCTAGACTAAAATAATAATTTAATATATGTGTGTGTTGATCCACCTGATTAAAGCTATTTATACTAATTGGGAGTTTTTATTAATCTTGACAAATCTAATAAAAAAAAAATCTAATTCCAAATCATATCTCACTTCAAAAACCCTAGCAAAAATTCGAAAAAAAAAATAAAGAGTTTATTAAAAAAAAAAAAGATAAGGAGAGGAAGAGAACCGTCTTCGTCGGGGACTTGAACATGGAGGAAGAGAAGCTTAAAACCAGAGGTATTGGAGCGAACGATCTTCTGAAGAATCCAATCGAAAGCTCCTCTGCTACTAATCGATGGGTGTGGATATCCTTTTATTGTTGACTCGTTCACTCCTATCATTATCCGAGTTGGCTCACCACCAGCCATCTCTCTCGTTAACACACTCACTCACTCAAACTCTGTCTTCCAGAACTTCCCCTCTCTCTGCTGTTCCTTATTATCTTTGCAAGCACGCACCGGGGCGGTGGCTCTGTTCTGCAATTATTGGGTTTCAAGTGGGGAGCAACTTAACGGGCGTAGTGTACACGAATAGGAGCAGGTAGTTTTGAAGGGACTAGCTGTTGCTAACGTGCGCTTTCTCGTGTCATAACAAACACTCGTCGTCTTGGCGGGCATTCCACGTACACCCGCTGTCGTCTACTTCGTGTTTATTCACTAACCAAGGGGTGTCTAAGCTATGCACGTCCAACTTTGTTTGTCTACGTTTCTTTATTCATCAATATCTCAAAATATTTTTCTATTTTTCAAATCAAACCAATGAAAAAAATTTCATTTTCAACCTTATCCTCAATCTCTCAATTAATTGTAACTTTCTTTCCATATATAATGACTTTTACATTTTTCAAAGGAACGATGTATTGAAAAATGTGTACTTGAAAATTTGTACAAATAATATATTGATAAATAGTTAGAAATTTCTTGGACACTTAGTGTTAAATTTAGAACAAACTAGTCACCTTCCCATGCTACGTTGCGGTTTTGATTGAAAAAAAATCATTTTAAAAATTTAAAAATTTTTAATTATAATTTTTTTAATTTTTTTATAAATTGTTTGCTTAAAAAAAAAAACCTTAAATCATTCTTTTTTATGGATTCATTTTTTTAAAAAAAAAATTGAAGTAAAATATAAATCAAGAATGAAAAAAACTTTTAAAATATAATTTTCATAATATTATATTTTAAAAAATAAATTTATAATTAATGGATAAACTTTTACAAAAATTAATAAATGAGAAAATTTCTTATTTAATGTTGATGAGAACATTAATTTTTGAAATTATCTACGCAATGCTACAAGTAGATAGAATACTTAATTAAATAAAAAAATATAAATTTATAAAAATTATAAAAAGAACACGTATGTAATATATAGTCGAGTTTGTGTTAAAAAAAAATAACGATTGATTTTTTTAAATTTTAAGACCTAATTAAATATAAAAAAAGAACATAAATTGGTAAAAAAAAAAAAAGCAAAATTGATTTTTCAAAATAGCATAAATTGATTGAAAAAAGCAAAGGAAAAAAACTATGTGTAGTGCATTAGTTAGAGGATTAAAATTTTAGATATCAAAATAAAATAAACTTAAAAATTTTTAAAAATTAAATAAAAAAACCTAAATTGATGAAAAAAAAAACAAAGGGGGAAAAAACATTTAAAGTGAAAAAAAAACACCTCGACTTGAAAAACACTATTCATTTAAGAGTAAAAGGACATAGTAAGTGCACGATAAATGTGCCTTCGTTTTAGAGTATTTGTAATTATCTTATCTTGTGTAAGCTTCATAATGGTTTGAAAAAATATATTTTATTTTGGGTTTTTTTATTAATTGGACTTGGACTAATTAAAATGCTCTTCATGTTTATTATTAGGGGTAATCGAATACTAGCCTTAGAGTTGGATTACGTCTTTATTTTTATTTATTTATTTACTCATACGATCGATGTTCCTATTGGAACTAGTCTATTAAGGATTTGAACCTATGATCTCTTATTGTAAGAGACCACTACCACCGAGATACAAACTCTTGATCATTATTTGTTTTGGAGTCATTTAAGTCATATGCATTCTAATTTGATATGAACATCTAAATATAAGTCCTAATAAAATTATAAGTGCATGGTTTCGACCAATGATTGAGTTTTGTAGTCTAATTTGGACAAATTTGTTCAACTCTAGCAAACCTCTAAAGTCTATTATTTAAGCAAACTATTTACTTCTATGTATAGAATTTTTTTTTTTTTTGCCGAATATTGATGAAATAAAATTTAGATTTTTCTTTACTTTTTTTGTGTGTTGTTTTGCTTGGATTAGCTAGGTTTTTGTAAACTATATCTTTAAATTGATTGATTAAGATGGGTTTTAGATCAAAATTGCATATAAGATTTCTTATGGTGGTGTTTGCTATATTCATAGGTTTTCTTAGACGAACGTGTCTATAAGTTCTTCTAAATCACCTTTTTGGTGGCATTATATGGATCTTCGAGGGCGAGTTGTTATAACTTGCATCTTTTATTTTGTTTGTGAATTTATCTTAAGGATATTCGGACTTAACTCCGAATTGGCACAACCGATCTTAAGGCGCCTAAAACATGTTTGGGTAAACTAAGGTTATCCGTTTGGGCTTTACTCGTAATTCATTTTGTTCTAGCCTATTTAAGTTAATTATTAAATTCAAAAAAATACCAAAAATAGGAGGAATCGATTCTAGTTCTTAAAATTTTTTCATGAGACTTTAAGATTAACAAGGTTTGTCACTATAAGTATTTAAGTGTGGCCTTGGTGTGATATTTTATTTGCTTGGTCTATTTTGAGGTTGTTTGTTGATTGAAAGGGCTGAATTTTGGGTTTAGACTATTAGGCCTATGAAGAGAATTTGGTTCGTGTTTACTTCTATCGTTAAGCTTCTATACAAATTAGACATCTCTTAATCCATCATTAATTTTGCTATCAAAATTGAGGTTGACTTTTATTTGAGTCTTGGCCAAATAGAAGAATGCATTCAAGAAGAGCACCAACAATAGGGTGACCATGCTTGATATGTAAAGGGTCATTAAGGAATTGCAACAAGACATCAAGGATCTTTAATGAAGAAACCATGAGTTAGAAACAACCTATGGGTTTGTAAGGGAACATGAGTATATGGATAAAGATGAAATTCTTAAAGCTCCACAAGATGAGAATCCTTTTTTATAACATGCTTATCGTATCTTTTGAATAAGATGAGGTAACTTCTTGAGTTGATAAGGCATTGAAGGAACACAAACACCCTAAGAGTATGGAATAAAGCTTGAGATCCCTAAGTTTAAAGGAAAGCAGAACTCGGATGTCTTCATAGAGTGGTTACACCAAGTGGAAAATGTGTTTGACTTTCATGATCAAGTGGAAAATATGTTTGACTTTCATGATGTGCTTCAAGATAACAAGGTCAAACTTTTTCCTATTAAATTAACAAAGAACACTACTCTACTATGTGAAAACTTTAAAAAAAAAAAAAGCAAGCAAGGGTTAGTAAAAATTGTAATGCAGGATAAGATGAAGAAAACACTCAAGTGAAAATACATGTTTGAGTTTCATAGAGAAGATACCTACTTATATTTCACTATTTAAAGTAAAGAACACTTAGATAAGTTATGATGTTTTACCAATGGATGTATGCCTTATAATCTTAGGTAGACCTTGGCAATTTGATAGAAGAGTCATTTATGATGGTTACAAAAATACCTATACGGAAACACATGGTGATAAGAGGTTCACATTGATGTCTAAACTGTGAAAAATGATGAATGATCTATGGTGACATGGAGTCCAAGATATTTAATCAAACCTTAAAGATCATGCACAAATAGATCAAGATATTTCTTTTTCTTGATGGGCCAAAATTCATCATTGTTAGGATAAGGTTATCTTTAACATTATTCTTAATATTATTTTATAACATTATCTTGTATTAGGATAATTATGCTTTTCAAGATTTGATTGTAAGATGGAGTTTATTAGAGTTAGATTTCTTTAATTGAGTTAGATAAGAGTAGAATTAGATGGTCATAAAGAAAGGTGAGACTAGAATTTTTTAGTCCATGTTGGACAATTTCTTTGGTCTTATCTTTATCTTGTGGAAGCCTAATTTTACAAGGAGAAATAGCCTTATATGGCTAACCCTAAACTAGTATAAATAGGGGTTTAATGCTTGTAGAGAGATAATATCTACTTGCTTTCAAAATTAATAAAATACTTGCAAATTTTCTCTTTAACTCTTAAATCTTATGTTTGGGGCTTGTTGTTTACATCATTGACTTGATCAAGCAAAGATAGGTTCTTGATCACAATCTAACTTAAATATGTAGCAGGGTTATTACTATAAAAAAAAATTATCTAAGGTTAAACCTTAACAAGTTAGGCAATCTACATAGTTAGGCCTTTACTTGTTAGTTTCATTATATTACCTAAGTTCAAATTAAGACAAAATCTAGACAAAACATCAAGTTACTAGTAGAAAGGTCAAATTTTATCGATTAAGTTGAAATTTGGATAGTAGTTTTTTCTATCTTTTAATTACATTTTATCAAAATTTCCAATCATTTTGATCTGATTTGCTTGGAAAATGTAATAAATATTTGTGATGGTTCCGTATGAATTTTGATTTGTATTGATTTTGGGTCTACTTAGTTTCTAATGTAAACATAAAAGGATGGAACTCTCTTTTCATCCATCAATTTCACAAAAAAGAATTTAAATTCCTTATACTTTGAAGGGTTTCTAAATTCAACCATAAAGAAAAGAGTTAAAAGGTTGGGCTTGTTCTAATTCTTCATAAAAATGGTGTCAACTCGGTATTTAAGCTAAGGTTGCTTCCTATGTGTTCTTTGACTAATTTTACGAAGATGCCACCTAAAAATAGTAGCTAAGGCATGTTATACTCTATCTTTTGTAGAGTTTTACAAGGGATAGAATTTCAATAAGTTCATGAAGAAGAGAAGTAACCAAGGAAATTTCAGTACCAAGTTAAATATGCTTTATATTCAACTTCGTGGAGCTTCTAACAATAGTCCTCTATTTTTATCATTTTCAAAAGATTAAATTTGGACCAATATAGATGGCATACCCTCTTGTAGATTATCTATCATCCAAAAAAGCTGTCTAGCTAGAGTCTAAAAAACCAAATAGGTCATAAGAATGAGATTTTTAAAGATGTAGACTAAGAGTGGTAGTGTTTTTGAGATATTATAGAATTCATTTGATAGTAACTCAATGCTCGATTATAGGAGCATGCATGAACCGACATACTTTATTTATAGCATAGGCAATGTCTAGTCATTTCAATGTAGCATACTCGAAGAACCCCTACCACCTATCTATAAGGAGTAAC